TGAAATCGAATTAATTTAAAAAAAATGAGATTTTTAAATCAAGCGGATTATTTATCCCTAAAATTTGAAATCATTTTTTTTAAATTTATCTTAAATGACTAAAATTCCCTTACAACGAAATTTGATGATGTTTTTCTATTATTTTAATTCAATAATATTTATTAATCATTTTCTTAAAATAACTAAAATGATTGTTAACAATCAACCATACATCCACATAATACATAACATCCATACTATATATATATATATATATATATATATATATATATATATATATATATATATATATATATATATAAACAAATTAGAAAAATAATTATGGCTCGATAGTTTTAGGTTTGAAAGCGTTGTATGTCAAACAATCCTGTTTGTATTGTTCTCCTGTTGGAAATCAACCTCCCCGGACCCGAAATCACATGCTCGAACACCAATTTGTATTGACATTAGCAAATATTACTTTCAAAGGAAAACTTTTTCTACATTCTCATTCAAAACAACAACACAGGTAAATAAGTAGGAGTAGAAGTATATATATATATATATATATATATATATATATATATATATATATATATATATATATATATATATATAAACAAATTAGAAAAATAATTATGGCTCAATAGTTTTAGGTTTGAAAGCATTTTATGTCAAACAATCCTGTTTGTATTGTTCTCCTCTCGGAAATCAACCTCCCCGGACCCGAAATCACATGCTCGAACACCAATTTGTATTGACACTAGAAAATATTACTTTCAAAGGAAAACTTTTTCTACATTCTCATTCAAAACAGCAACACAGGTAAATAAATAGCCAAACATCTCCTAAAAACTTGGAACGTCTACTTAGAAAAATAATTATGGCTCGATAGTTTTAGTTTTGAAAGCGTTTTATGTCAAATAATCCTGTTTGCATTGTTCTCCTGTTGGAAATCAACCTCCCCGGTCCCGAAATCACATGCTCGAACACCAATTTGTATTGACACTAGGAAATATTACTTTCAAAGGAAAACTTTTCCTACATTCTCATTCAAAACAGCAACACAGGTAAATAAATAGCCAAACATCTCCTAAAAACTCGGAACGTCTACTTATTAATTGTCTACCTAGTCAAAGCAATAGCAAAACAAGAGCCAACTAACCCCTATCTAAATTATTCTAAAAATATGCAAAATAAATGTGGCCTACATGGCCTTTACTTATTCAAACTCTTACTGAAATAAAGAAAACTACAAGAAGGACTAAAATACCTATAAAGATAATTACTTGATTTTAACTCGGTTTGGATTAACACCAACATTGCCCCCTTTAATCAAAACTGTTCCTGCCAAGCTTTTTTCTTTCTATCACAGACTTTGGCACTCAGTCTCTATTTCTCAAGCAAACCACTGATCACGTTTACCTCCTTCGGTCTTCGATCTTCTCGCTATCGCTAATCTTTTCCAGATATGGGCTCTAGCGGTCTTTGCTGCAATTTTATGCTTTCTCACTTGCTTGTTCGGGCCTTGTTTTTCTTTCTCGATTGTTGCTTGTTTCTTCTTTCTTGCTTGCTAAGATACAACAACCTTCTACTCCTACTTATTCCTTCTAATCAACAGACATGACCAACCTTGCTACTCGCTTTTATTGTTTCTTTTGATCACCAAATTTGATCAACCTTAGTGCTTACTTTCATTCTTACTGCTTGCTTTCTTCCTCTCGACCTGCTTGCTTGTTTTGTTCCTCAACAACTGCCATCTCCTGGATCGAACCACTACATCGATACTTTCATTTATCAACACAACTATGAGTCATTAATGCCACATCAGAACCGGAACATACTATAATCGAGAACCACCCTTGTTAGCTCTGATACCAAGTGTTGGAAATTAAGCTCCTCGTCCCTAGAATCACAAACTTTGAACACCAATCAAAACAACAATTTGTATTGATACTAGCAATGTTACTTCAAGGGGAAACTTCTATTATATTATCATTCAAAACAACAACATATGTAAATAAATAGCCAAACTTATCCTAAAAACTTGGAACGTCTGCCCAATAATAGTCTACTTAGTCAAAGCAACAAAACAAGAGCCAACAAACCCCTATCTAAACTATTAAATATGACCTACATGACCTTTACTTATTCAAACTTATAAAGAAATAAACAAAAATATATGAATAACTAAAATACCTGTAAATATAACTATTTGATTATGACTTGGTTTGAATTAACATTAATATATATTCTGGTTTTGTCTTAAAAGACACCCTATTTTTTCATATAGACACCCCATTTGATTTTTAAGATTTTTTTATTGGTTATTTGGATTATAAAAAAATAGACAAAATTGCAAAAATGGTCCTTGTGGTATGCAAAATTTTGGGGTTTTAGTCCAAACCATGAGTTTTTTTTGATCCATGGTCCTTTTGGAGTGGTTTCTTTGTGGTTTTGGTCCCTGGACTTAACTCCCGTTAAGTTGGATCTGTTAAGCCCCCTCACGTGCCTCATACGTGAGGGTAATTTCTTCATTTCATATGTTAGGGACCATTTTTGCATAAACGTTTTTGTATTAAATCCTTTTGAATACCCCCACTTATTGCGATCTTCTTCCCCAACATTCCCCAACGTCTCTTTTCTTCTACCCTTCTTCTTCTTGAGCTCTACTACAACAAAAATGGTGCTATGTTTTTGTAGAAAAGTTGTTGTGGTGAAAACGTCTTGGACCCCTCTGAATCCAGGAAGGAGATTTTTTGCATGCCCTATGAATGATTCTGTTTGTGGGTTTATTAGGTGGTTGATCCCCCAATATGTGCTAGGGCTAAAGCCATCATACTTGGTCTGCTAAGAAATTTGAATTCAATGCAGGAACGATGCAATGAGTTGGTTAAAAGTATGAACATGCTACAGGATCAATGCAATGGACTGATATGTAGGAACAATATGTTGGTGGCAAATGTCAAAGCATTGAAGGATGATAATTTGAAGCTGAAAATGTACATGTTTGGAAGTTGGTTTTTCTTTGTGATTGTATTCTTCTGTATTTGGTTTGTGTTGGGGTATACTCTGAAGGGTGTTTTGGTTATTTTGTTGGACTTATGATGATAATGATATATGTATAATTTTATGATGCAAGTGTAATGAATGTTTTACCAAAATGATATGAATGTATCAGAATTAACATATGAATAGACATGGTATGAATATATTACCAAAATGTATATATTAGAACCAATTGTACATAAACAAAATGCATATTTCATTAAGACTTGTAATATAACAACCAAAGTTTCTAAACATAACAACCAAAGATTCTAAACATTACCAAAAGGGACACATTACCATACCTAAGAAAACAACCAAGTTTTCATAACAACCAACCAAAAGTTTTCAACAAAAATATTGTAAACATAACAACCAAGTTTTCATAACCAACCAAAATCATAGAAAACCCAATGCATGCATGACACATTACTTCTTGGACTAATTCCCACCTTGCCCTTTACAGGTCCTAGAGTTGTGTCCCTTGTTCTTGCATTTGCTACAAGTAACACTGATATGCTTCCTTGATAGCTTCTGAACTCCATCATTTGTTGGTTTTTAGGAACCTCCTTCTTGTGTAGCATTCACTCCATCACCTTGACTTTCCTTCTGCTTTTTGCTTAACCTTTCACCCTCACTTTGTCTCCCCTTTTTCTTAGGCCTTCCCACCTGAGTGCGATGTGGAGGAGGGATTAGCTTTGTGGGACATTCATTTTTGGGCCACATGGATTTACCCTTAATTGGCTCCACCTTAAAAGAATAAGCCTTTTTCCATGTATCTAGAAAATACACCTTGTGAACCCATTTGTAAATGTCAAGCTCAACCTCGGGTCTTTACTCATCTCATTCAGAGTTGCAATTGCATGTCTGCATGGAATTCCCATTTTCTGCAAGTGCATGTTTTGTTCCTAACATCAACCACATGTTGATCCTGCAAAGCTCCTGTGACTTGATACTTGTCTCCCCCATTCCAACTAGCAATGTATTGTGAAGCAACTGTTTTTCTTGCAGCTAGGATGTCTGTTGTTGTGGGTGTTAGTGGACCTTTAGCATTTTTCATTTCCTTCATGACATTGCATATCCTCTTCATTAGATACTCCCTTATGTATTCTAAACATCCAATGACAGGCTTATCCCTTCTTTTCTCCATCTTCCCATTAAACACTTCACACATGTTTGATATCAACACATCAGAAACTGCTCTTCCTGTGTGTACATTACCATTAAAAAACATTTAATACAATTTACATACAAGTAAAACAGTTCACCAAGTGAAAGACATAAGGACCAAATTGGAATATATAGATTTACCTAAAAAATAACTCCTTGCCCAATGTTTAAAGGGAATTTGCTTCAACCATTCACATGCCTCCTTATCATACTGACTAAACTCCTTCATCAAATGTTCAAACTCAGGAATAGTGGTAGCTGATGCACACCTCCATAAGTGGTTCGTGTACTCTGTTTGCCTCCATCTTTTCCTCATATTGTCATGAATATGTCTGATACAATATCTATGCTCAACATTAGGAAACAATTGCTCAATTGCAGTATGTAAACCCTGTAAGAATCAATTGTCAATCATTAGAATTAACTTAAAACCACACTTTAAATGACCAAATGCATAAAAATCACTTCCAGCTTTACGTTTTTCCTGTCACTTATAAAAGTAAAATTTGAGTTTCTTCCAAGGTCCAAGTCATTCCCAAGGTTATCTAAAAACCATTTCCAGCTTTCTGTGTTTTCAGACTCAACAATCCCATATGCTAATGGGTAAATTCCATTATTGGAATCAAGACCAGCTGTTGAAAGGACCTGCCCAGGGAATGGTCCTTTCATGAAGGCACCATCAAAACCTAATAAGTCCCTAAGGCATGCCCTGAACCCTTTTTTCAGTGGACCCAAACACACATAAATTCTTCTAAACTGCCTGGTTGGGGAATTAGGGTTAGGCTCATAACATACATCTATTTTCATTGTGGTGTCATTAATTCTTTACCCTTTATTTTTGAAGTGGTAGCTTGACTACCCACTTGGCCTTTATTGGTGACAGGTACAACTCCTCTACACTGTGCCCTAAGCCTTACATTGTCATTTTTTTTAAAGAAACGATTCCTTCTTGATTCTAGTGCATGCAGATCAATTGCCTCATTTAATTCTTTTTTACTATTAAATTTATCTCCAACTGAAAATGATTGTTTATGTACTTCCCCAAGACTGCACCTTTGTTCTTTTCTCAAATTCTTGATAAGAGCTCTTCTCTCTCTGTCTTGGTCAGATCCTTCATCCAAAGATTTAAATTCCTCATTGTTGATCACTTCAATATCTTCATGTTCATGCCCATGAACAACATTTATACAAGAACCTTCCACATCACTTTCAACATTGAGAGTGAAGTCTCCCATGTCCACATCCACATCCTGTATATTGTTGTCAACATCCATTATGTCATCCATATGATCTTCATCTTCTATCTGTCTCTCATCTTCTTCATACTCTGGATCATTATTTTCAGATTCATCATACTCTTCAAAATTTGGATCACTTTCTTGAGATTCATCATCCTCTTCATACTCTTGATTACCCTCTTCAGATTCTCCATCCCCTTCATAGTCTGCGTTATCATCATTACTGCTAATCAAATTTTCCATAAGGTTATCAAATAACTTATTCAATTGTTCATCATCATTATTAACAAGGGGTGTTGTAGCATCCTTCATCAACAGTTGATGCCTCTTGAACAACAGTTGCAGCCTCCCTAACATCATCCATCTCACCAATATGACACAAGTTGCTGCCTCCTGAACATCAGTTGAACCATCATGATCATCATTCTTTTCCTTTGAAATATGAACACCCTCATCAATATAATCTAAATTAAGCCTCTTGCTACAAGAACTTTCACCTATATTGGAATTCCCAACCCTACCCCTTCTATACTCTGGTGAGAAACTATCATTCTTACTCCCAAAAAGAACCAGAGACGTGAACTCACCAATAGGCTCACCATTACCATGGTTTACATTTTTCATTGGAGAATCTGCATGAACTTGACCCTCAACTCCAGCCCCTTGATCATCATTTTCTGGTAATTCCTCAATGACAACTTTACCCTTTGCATTTGGTGACATGAAGTAAGTCAGTAAATTTGTCTTTCCATGCTATGTATACACCTCAATCAGCTTGTTATGTGTAATGTATTTAGAAAGGTTGATCACATCCTGATCATTCCCTAAAGCTCTAAGACCAAATTGAAAGTCACCATTAGGTATCCTAAAATGGTAGTATATAATTGGGATTCATCAGCGAATTCAGAATTTTGTGGGTCTGGGTAACCTAGGTCAAGCATTATGACATCAAGTTCATGCACAGAAAACTCATCAATGTCCACATAATCAACATAACGCACTTCACCTCCAATGTACTTTATATCAGGTAACTTAGTTAATTTCCCATCATGATGAAGCTTAATACTAAACCATGTGGGTGCACCAGCTAAAAATCAAAATTGTACATATTAACAAAGTCAAAATTTTGCATTTTTTTGTTCTAAATCAATAAGAAAATGAAAAGTATAATAGTTAAAGAAAACAAAGCAACTTACCATATACTGTTGATACATCAACAACTTCGTGTTTTGGTCTGGTATGCCATATTACGAACACCATTTCGTATTAAACATATGCCCTTGTATGTGTAGTGTCGATTATATTTTTTGGATAAGCAACGAGGGTTTTTTGCAGGTTCAATGGAGCAGAAGCAAAGAAGGAGGGAGTTGGGGAGTTGACGAGTGTTGGGAAAGTAAATGAGGGGTAAATGTCAATTAATCCAAAAAACGTTTATGCAAAAATGGTCTCTAACATATGAAATGATGAAATTACCCTTATGTGTGAGGCACGTGAGGGGACTTGACATATCCAACTTAACGGGAGTTAAAGTTAAGGACCAAAACCACATAGAAACCACTCCAAAAGGATTATGTATCCAAAAAACTCGTGGTTTGGATTAAAACTCCAAAATTTTGCATACCACAGAGACCATTTTTGCAATTTTGTCTAAAAAATATCCTAATTCTTCCTACATTGGTTGTAACTAAAAAGGTTGAAAGTTGCTTATATAAAAAGAAGGGTCAAGGAGTTTGGTTCTATCGGATACATGTGCTAGACTATGTTTTACGGTTAAAATTTTTATATAAAAACCGGTTTTTTAGTGGTTGAATTGAACTGGTTTGAACCAGATTTTTGGTAAACTAGCTAGTTTTTACTAATTTAAAACCAAATAGTTTTGAGCTTGAAAAAACCATTATTTTGATAGTTTTTTTGGTTCAACCGGTCACGTTGATCTACTTTTAAAATCATGCATTTGTGTAATTCAATGTACTTGTGAAACATCCTTTTTATAACCTTTTAACGCAATCAATCCATGGAGTTTTACGTAAACGACGATCTTCTAAAGAATCAAACATTTTTAATGAAGGCTTTTGGTTAAGCAAAGTAACCTTAAAAACACCTAATAACGCCTGCTAACTGAATTTTACAGTAGACGCATAATTGGGTTCTTAGGAAGCGTTAAATATAAACCTCGTTTACTCACTGAACGCATGTAAGCGAATAAAAAGTTTATTTCTTTTTGTTGGAGAATATTGTTATTAGAAGAAAAAGATTTGCTCATTTTGAGCGTACGAAAAGATCTCCAAATCTTATATACAGAAACAAGATCAAATAAATAACCATGATACTATATTTGATATGGAATAAAGCTATATATCAAGCTATATATCAACTGTCATGAAACTAGTTCATCTTGAAATCTTGAAACGGATTCGAATATCGTTGATATCCTTTGTGAATTTGATGATGTGTTCCATTTTTCATTACCTAAAAGCCTCAAATCCAGCAACTTTTCACAGTTTCTCTTAGCTTTTCTTTAGGTGGGTTACATATAGCTTTTGCACACCTCTCACTGTATATCTATGTGGTAGATAGAATCTTTAGAGTGTGATTGATTTTATGCAAACAAGAAAAGACCCATGATATGTTGGTTTTTCACTCATCATAATCGTGACAGAGAGCTTGTGGTTGAATAATTATGGCTAACCACCTTTTCCAAGGCCTAAATTCTCTAATCCAGCAACATGTCCAATTCTCAGTGCGTTGTTTACAAGTGATCTTCTGGAAAAAGGAATACTACACTGTTATCAAGATGACCCTCCAGTCCTCCACCCCTCTTAATTATTTAACCCTCTAATTCACTATGCTGTCTTCTCTCTCTATACTACTCTCTCTCATCATCATCATCATCATCTTTAATAAATAAACACCCATCTCCCTTCTTCCTCTCTCAAACATCTTTCTTTATATGTGTATACCGTAGTGTTTGAGTGTGTGCTTTTATGGTATTAGGGTATTCATACTCTCGACTTTAATTCATGGCGGTTTAATAAAGGGCTTCCTGCAGATTTCTTTGGCATTCTGTCCACCTCCCTATTCATTGATCAAAACCCACTATAGGAAAAACATAAAGTAACTATAGTGCGTGTGTGGCTCTTGTAATTAGGGTTTCGTAGTTTGATATGAAGAAAAAGAAAGAATCTAAGTCAAAATTTCTTCTTCTTCTCTCTCTCTCTCTCTGTGTTGCAACTAGTGGGTAATTTAGTCCGGGAGGTGGGCATACTGTCAACGGAGCTCTGTTGGTATCTCTTTGTAAAACCGTCTTGAATCTTTTCTCTATATTAGTCTCCCACAGTCGTTATACTATTCACCAAGAAAACGAACTGTTACATATCATGGCTACTGTGTATGTGTGCTTTCTATGCTTTTGGTTTTGACCTATTGGATATGGTTGAAGGCATTATGCTTTTTGCAGTCCTGGGGTGATGATTCATTCCCAAAAGCAAAGATCTTTGTGTTGATGATCATCATCAAAAGCACAACACTTGCTTTTTACCGTAAGTCCTTCCCTTTGACCCTTTCAACTTCAAAGCAAAACCCTAATATATATATATATATATATATATATATATATATATATATATATATATATATATATATATATATATGTTTCTGATGTAACCTGGTCTTCTGAACTGCTTTGTGTGTGTAAATAATGTGTTATTGTGCTAGTTATGTGGTTAGATCTTAAGATGATCTGATGCCTGTTTGATAAACGGCTCTGAAACATGGTGAGACTCATTACTGATTGTTGGATATGCAGATTCAAATGTGGGATTCGAGGATATTTGTTTAAATATCTGTCTTTGGGTTCTTAATATATTTTGGATTGCATTTGGAAAGTTAAGATCTTTGTGTTAAATCATTGGAATATGGTTTTAATGCGTGGATTCTAGTTATCAACATGTCATGTCTGCCAGATATACGGTGACTTCTGGTAACATGCATCTTCTCTATTAAATGATTACCATTTTGAATGTAGTTATCCATAATGGAAAACGCCAAAAGTAACAAGTTTATTTTAGAAAAATCTACAGCTTCATAATCACATGCGTAAGTATGACTGATTGTAAAGAATTGTAAGCAAGATTGTAGATATAATCAGTCGATCGAAAGAATTGTAAGCAAGTTTATTTTAGAAAAATCTACAGCTTCATAATCACATGCGTAAGTATGACTGATTGTAAAGAATTGTAAGCAAGATTGTAGATATAATCAGTCGATCGAAAGACATGGATGTTGTAGTTTGGTGTGGAGCATACGTTTAAGATTTTTAATGAATAATGGGTGTTGTACTGCGTGCATTAAGAGTTGTAACCCTATAATGATTGGTAGGAAATTTAAGGTGAGAGATATTTAAGGATTGTAGTAGCATTAATGAAAGAGGAAGAAGATGGTGCAAAACAGATGAGGAGGTGGAGGTACCACCAGCACCAGTTTTGTCAGTCAATTCATCATCATTCACTTGTATCAGTTATGTGTTTGTGTGTATGTATATTCTTTTTGCTACTGTCACACATCATTTAATGGCTTCAATTTTTCTACGACATCAAAAATCACAGAGTTGTATAATATGGGTTTTTAATTACATATTTGAATTGGATATATTAATTATACGTTGTTGGTAGATTTTTTTACAATAAATGTTATTAAAAAGGATTACCTAACAAGTAGACAACAAGTAACAATCAACAAAATTGTTTTATTTTTTATTATTATTTTACAAAAACGCTCCCTGGAGCCTCCTACATTGATTGTAATCAATCATATATTCACATGATCACTTTTTCATTATGATTGGTCGAACGGCCTACCTTAAAAAAGTTTTCTACGAAAAATTATCATATATATAAAGTTGTTACGCCTTCCATGAAGTTTGTTATTGTGCTGTATGTGTTAGTTTGAAGTCTTTGCACCCGCCTCTCTCTCTCTCTCTCTCTCTCTCTCTCTCTCTCTCTCTCTCTCTCCAAATATGCATAAGAATGAAGTTCTTGTGGAAATGGAGATTAAATGTCTAGGGATCTTATGGATTATGTTGGGATTCTCAGCACAATAGGCGTTCATCAACTACCAAAGCCGACATGGTGATTAGATCTTCGTTTATTGATCTAATATTTGGTTAGGTAAATTCGTGTTTTTAGGGATGGATTAGCTTGGTTGAGTAGTGATGGAATTTCGATAAGATATTAGTGTCTTAATTCATTTAGGTGTAGGGAGTGGGGATGTCAAGAGCTTGGCAACGGTGATGTGGAAAATGATGTGGCCTCGGCAACACAACATTTGGCATGCGGAAGTTTTATGTCTTCCTTGGTACGTAAAATCTTGTTTTTTCTCTTTCTTTGGCATTGTGATGGAGAAGGCGACGAATGTGGACTTCGACACCCCTTTATATGAGTCCACCCTTACGATTGCTAGGAAATAAGGGAAGGGGGTGTATATGATGAGCTACAAGATGCTTTTTGACATGACTTATATACACTATCAAGGTTCTTGTGGATGAGATTCTTTTTGTGATTCATGTTCTAAAGATTTCTGCCCCGCATTTAAAGAGGAAGTTGCAAAACAAGATGATGATGTTGCTGGAGATAGTTTTAATACATTGATCAACTATGCACTACATAACTATTGGAACCGAATCGAACTAGAATTGAGATTCAAGGGGAACCTATTCTGCAGTTCGGTCTATTGCTTAGTCCTAAAAAATATTGTGTATCAGTCCTACGTTTCTTGGTTTTTTCAAGGGATAATGACTTAGGAGGGTAATAACATTTTCTGTTTGTCAATTTTAGGTCCCTAACGTATTTTTTGTGCGTATTACACCATTAAGGTTATTATAATCGTTTACAAATAGTCCTTTTAACAGGAAGAAGCCGGTAAAAGGATTATTTATAAACGGTTATAACAACCTTAATGGTGTAATATACACAAAAAATACGTTGAGGACCCAATATGGACAAACGGAAAACGTTATTACCCTCCTAAGTCATTATCTCATGAAACTATAAATCCCTATAATAAATTTTTACTTTTTAAATAAGAAACTTATAGGCCTTGGGGTTAGTAGTTTGGATGTTTTTAACATCGGCCTTCTTTATAAATGGAAGTGGCGGTTTCTTAATGATAATGGAGTTCTTCGAGTTAAAATTGTCAAATTTTGTCATGGGGAAGGTGGTGGTTTTTCGGACGATTCGAGAATAGGAATTGGAGAGGGTGTTTGGCAAAAGATTGTAGGATCCATTAATCACCTCCATGAGAATGGTTGTATTGCTTCTAATTACATGTATAGAGTGGTGGGGGATGAGATTCAAACGAGGTTCTAGAAGGATGTTTGGTGCTACTCGAGCGTCTTGATTAAAGGCCAAAGCAAAGAGCCTCCCGAACCGCTTCTTAAGAGGAATATCCAAGAACCAAACATCCTTCTAAAACCTCGTTTGAGTCTCATCCCTCACCACTCTATACATGTA